TTTCGATTTCAGTTTTCGAATATCGTATTAATTATTGCGGCATCTCGGTTAACACGATTGAATCGAACACGATTAAATGTGCGCGCGCGTACAAACGGCAGGAGTATCGCACTCGACGATAATACACTGGTATGACGGTACGGCATCATTATGTTGTATTATTCATACGCGTATCGAGTGATGTGTAAACGGTGGCGCAGAGAGAGACAGTGAAACGAACGTTTGTCACGGGAAACGTCGCGTGTTTCGAGTATACGATATATATACGTACGTAGTACACGTATTTATATGTATATGATGGGTACACGTAGTACGCGATGCACGAGTTTTTCTCCGGAAGTGGGCCGATTTTCGGCCCGTGCGCGCTTTCAATTGTAAAGCGGGCGGCGGCGAAACGTACCCGGAAACGATCGGCTAATAAAGATCGAAAACGATATAATTGGAAGTCGCGCGACATTGTTTTTCGGCGGCGGTACAATTATCGTCATCCGCGTAGTTTTAAATAGGCACTCGATTCCCCTCCCCTCCCCTCACCTTTCCACGGCAACCCCCCGCTTCCCGTCCGGGCCGTCCGCCGAACGTTTCTTCCGCGGCGTCGTTATTTTCCCGGGCGATAATAACCGTGATGGCGGCGCTCGCACGCGGACACCGGGCGGTTTTAAGCGCCGCGGATAACGAATACCAATTAAATAAATCTGAGCGGCAGTACGTTCGCCCGTTGTTTAATTTATCCCCGGGGTAACGATGATTTTTCCGAAAAACGTTTTCTGCCGGAAGATTTGCTCCGATTTTCGCACGCGTGACACACTTTCTCCGAGAGCGCGTTTGACCGGTGCGGTACTTTGAGGAGGCCGTTTTTCGATTTTCCCGGGGGGGGTTCATAATTCGCGGGGCGATTCGCGGACCGTATGTTAATTTCAAACCGTTAATATTAAACGCGTGTACACAAACGGACTCCGCTCGGAATCGTTTGTGTCGTTAACGGCGATTAACAGATACGCTGCGTTGAACTTCCCCGCACTACCATACCAATTTCTCGCCTGCAACAGTGGCCCGCCCGTCGCGCGATCAGAAGTGCTATGGCGGCACCCACCGCCGTGGAAACCGGACTTGCAACGTCGAGGGAAACGAAACGCTCGTCGTCGAAATCCACTGCAAGTCTATAGTTCTGATGCCGAAGTTGAAACTTTGCGCGTCCGGCACGCTCGGAATAACCGTGCAAAGCCTGAAAGCGCGGGCCGTTCATTTTTCCGTGTACGAAAATCGATTCTCCCTCTCGGGCTCCCACTTCCCCCACCTCGGTTTTATTACCGCGAATACGCTCGTTTAACGCGGGGCCACTCTGCCGGACGGATAGAATTTCGAATTTTTTCCCGGCCCGGTTCCCGTTTTTCTCTCTCTCTCTCTCTCTCGATATTCTCGCGTTTAGAGAGAGAGAGAGAGAGAGAGAGAGAGAGACCGGTGTCGGTGGCTATAAAATATCGTCGCGTTCGGTTAAAATTTTAACCGATCGAATTACAACACCGCGGTCGTATTCGCCCGTCGCCGCTGCACGGTTACGGTGCGTACGAAATTTCGCCGGGCGATTATAAGACGATAATATTTTCGCCGCCGCGTCGTACGGACCGACCACCGTGATAGTCCGGAACGGCGGGAGGGGGCGGGGAAGGCGAAAATTGTATCGCCGTTTCACATTCATGCGCGCGTTCGCTGGCGACGGCACACATTATTACGTGCGCGTAATAGGCAGTGGCAGCGGGACGGTGGCGGCGGTTTTTCGCGGACGGCGCAAAAGCAGCGGCGAGCCCGCGCGGACCGCAACAATCCGACGACGCGGACAATCGCGGCTAGCGACGCGGTCACTGCCGTTTTCGCCGCTACGCCTGTCCGAGTACCGGTGGCGATATTTTTTCTGCGGCTATACCGACGGGTGTGCGTGCGTGCGTGGGTGAGGGGAACAGAACGAATCGCTGTTGTGCGCGGGCCGTCCCCGGGTACGTTTCCGCAATATCGTACAACCGACTACGATATTGTCGCGCGCGCCTTTTTCAGCGTGTTCGGTCCGCGCCCGACAGCCATGCCTTTTCGCTACGGCCGTGCCGCGTCGGAACGGAGCGCGACGCGCTAAAACCGAGCCGGTCGTTGCGCGAGACAGGCGGATTTTCGAACCGCGCGCGCGCCGCTGCTATCACACGCCGCGTATTTTAGGAGGATCCGGCAGATTATCGTGTTATCGCGGCGGCAATCACTACTCGATTACCGCGGTAAAAATAAACCGTTCGACTTTGAATAACAATCAATTAAAAATTGTCCAAGCAATAATCATGCGCGTCGCACAGCTACATAATAACGGTTTTATCTGTAAAACGCGTACACGAAATGCAATTACGACGCGTATGATATTATGACATTATTATTGTTATTGTCCCGTAATCGTTTAGAGTGAAAATAATAATAATATTAAAAAAAAAAAAAAGAAAAAGAGATTCTGAACGGAGTGTATATTTACGTGACAATACGTTCGCGGTTGTCGCAAAGCAGCTGCCGGCAACCACGCCGACACGAAAACGGTCGAAGACAATAACGCGATATAAAAATAATCAAAAAAAAAAAAAAAATTAAAAAATATTTTAAAAAAGAATTACCGATGTTTTTTTTTTTTTTTAATACTATTGCGTACTCGTACCTATGGATATCAACAACGACGGACGGGCACGATGTGGACGACGACGGCGGATTCGTTGGGCCATTAGCTGCGGCGGCGGGCGGTTCGCGGACGGTCCGCCGACATTTTCGCATTTGCACCGCCGGCGGTTATCGCGGATCGCCGCGGACGACGCGGGTTCGCGGCGACAACAGCCGCGACGGCAATCGAAACGGCCAAATAATTGCGATTCACTGTGCGCGGGTCACTAACGCACGTCGCGATTACACTGCGATATTAAAATATTGTTAACGCGCGGACGATAACGCGACGCGGCGATAATAACAATAATTGATTGTTCGCCGTTATCGTAGTGGCGGTCACGGCGGTGGCGGCGGCGAAAAAAACCGCGGGCGGGCGCCGGGGGAAAAACAAATCAAACGTCGTCGACGCGATGTCGTCGAGCGCCGACTGAACTTTTATCGCGCGCGTCCGCGTGCCCACCCGCCGACGACGACTGCGGACCGCGACGGCGGCGGCCGCTGCTGCGTGCGTACCGTACCGCCGTAACGATATCGCGTGTACGCGACGTCATAGTAGTGTTTGTTTTTTTTTTTTTTTTTTTCTTTCGAGTTTCGCGCTCCGAATCTAAAATCATTACGCTTATGGTTATTTTTTATTCTCAACTACTATGATGACCGTACGGCAGCGCGCGCGGCTTTCAAACTGCCATCGAACAATACGTATCGCGGTACACGTATTGTACGGGCCGCGGCCGCAATTCGCTCTTATTCGGTTCGGCCCTAAGATAATTTACATCCGCGTGTTTGACGCAATACGTTTTTTAAATCGGTTCGGGTTTTTTTTTTTTTTTTTTTT